AGGGCTGAAGACCTGATTGTGAGTTGCAGAGCTCCAGAGGTATTCAGATAGTCAGTCCATGCACATGTGTTATGCAAAGGGCAGGGTCCTGATAGGAATAATCAGGGGTCCTGAAAAGTATGATAGGACATCTGAATGGATGCCCCTGAGGATTTTGACTTAACAACTACAGCTGCACCCTCTGGGCAGGCAGAGGTGACCCACCTCTACCTCTAGTAAGGGCTAGAAACCTCACTGTCTTAGAAGATGCTATATAGTCCTCTCTCCAACAAGACAACAGGTTCTCCCCTCAGGAGTTGCTCTCACCTCCTCTTCTGGCAGCTGGGCCAATTAATGAGGGTGCTGTTAAGCATCTATAAAAAAAAGAGGGGCACCTGGGTGGCTCAGTCAGTTTAGTGTCTGTCTCTTGATTTTAGCTCAGGTCATGATCTCATGGTTCATGGGTTCGAGCTCCGCATTGGGCTCCGTGCTGATAGGATGGAGCCTGCTTGGGATTCTCTCTCTTTCCCTCTCTCTCTGTCCCTCCCTTTCCATCCCCCCTCCCTCTCTCTCTGTCTCTTAAAATAAATAAACATTTAAAAATTAAGCAAAAGAATGGAGGAGCAAGAGGCTGAGGACAGTTAACCCAGTAGAAAGCACAATTCTTTGCTCATTTGCCAGATCTGAACCAATTTTCAGTTTCAGAAATCATTGACCAAAGAGGTGGGTAGATTCCTAGCAGAAAGGACCCTATGTTGGTCCAAGTATATATCTTGACAATATCTCCAGTTTTCGCCCAAAAGGGCCTTTGACCACTTGTGTGGGTGATGGTACACTGTGAGAAAGGAAACGACCAGACATTTTGAAGTCCAAGTTGACATTGATTCCCCAAATGCCTACAGTCCAAATCACACTGGGCCCCATGTGTTCACAAACTCCCCTGCTCCCATGGTGATCATTTTCCCAGTCCCGGAGTGTATAATTGGAACAGATATACTTGACAATTGAAGTTAACCCCCTTACTGGGCCTTCATCTCTGCAGTAAAAGCTATCACAATGGGAAAAAACACATGGAAACTTTAGAAACTGTCCCTCTCCCACCCAAGGTCAAAATTGTAAAGCAAACACAATTTCTTATCCCAGGGAAAAGAGCAGTGATTAGTGCCACAATTAAAAACCTAAAAGATGGAAGGGTCCTAGTACCTATCATTGTTCTATTTAAGTTGCTAGTCTGGCCCCTGCAAAAACTGGATGAATTTTAGAGAAAGACTATAGACCACTGCAGGCTTAACCAATTGGTAGCCCCAACTGCAGCTGCTTTGCCAGATGTGGTATCCCTGCTGGAGCACACTAGTCAGCCTTCAGTGTAGGGTGTGCAGCCACCGATTTCGAGAATGCATTCTTTTTGTTCCAATTAGAAAAGAGGATCAAGAACAGTTTGCGACTTCTGGCTTCAGCTCCAATATGCATAGTGCTGTCATTACAACAAAAAAAAGGTGAATCATTGTTCACACTGTTCAACACACCCAATCACTGTTCTTGACTCATTAGTGAACTGAGTTTGCAGGGCAAACTCCCATCCTGAAATCTGTATAAACAGACAAATCCAGATAGTTACTAATGACATCTGCTTCCTTGGAACAGAGCCTGCTCAAAGTGTTCCTGGTAGGAACACTTACATGGTGATTTTGATGAATTAATGGAGGAAAAATAGGCATATCCACTCACTATTAAAGTAACACCCACCCTGTCAGTAATTGATAGATCAAAAAGGGAGAAAAGTCAATAGAGACATAGTTGACCTGAACAGCAATCAACTCAATCGATTGACATTTATAGAATATTCCATCCAATGACAGAATACAGTTTCTTCTTATGCTTACATGTAACATTCACCAAGGTAAACCATAGAAGACTCTCAGCTTCATGAGGTCAGGATCTGGGTTTGTAAATCTCACTGTGGTATCCTTAGCACAACGTCTGGAACATAGGAGGTGCTTGATGAATATTTTTTGAATAAATGAATGAATTGTAATATTAGGTAACAAGACAAAGAATTTAGTCAGGATAGGAGTAGTAGCGCGATATAGTCTAACACAAAGAAAGTGTATTAAAAATATTTAAGCTTCAAAGCTTAGAACTGCAAATCCACATCAGTAAATAACATAGAAACTTCTTCTGTCATAGAAACTGCCACTTGGTTAGTATTCCTACCTCCCTGCTTTCATTTTGCCACTTGTTTAATACCTTCCAATAGCCCCCTGTGTTTAGCTTCCTGAGCCTGGCAATCTGAGTCTTCTATAGCCAGGGCTTTCCTTAATTATCTTACCTTACCTCTTATTTATTTCTCAAATACTTTGCTTCACCTCTGTTATTACCGTTAAATAATCATTTTGACTCAAGTCTTTGATCAATATATAGCTCCCCTTTTTCTCCCATCCAAATCCTTCTCTTTTGGGGGATCCTGAATGCTCTCTCTAGTCCGTGTTGATTGGCCTCTTTAAAAAAACTTGTGAGGGGCGCCTGGGTGGCGCAGTCGGTTAAGCGTCCGACTTCAGCCAGGTCACGATCTCGCGGTCCGTGAGTTCGAGCCCCGCGTCGGGCTCTGGGCTGATGGCTCAGAGCCTGGAGCCTGTTTCCGATTCTGTGTCTCCCTCTCTCTCTGCCCCTCCCCCGTTCATGCTCTGCCTCTCTCTGTCCCAAAAATAAATAAAAAACGTTGAAAAAAAAAAAAGACCTTCTCTTTAAAAAAAAAAAAAAAAAAAACTTGTGAGACATTTATTGTCTGTGCTTCACATTTTGGCATTTCATCATATATTGCCTTGAATTTTACCTGTTGCATATGTACATTTCTTGTATAAGCTTCTAGAGTTCTAGGTCATATCTCATTCAGGTCAACATTAATATAAAAATAATCTGTATCCCAGTAGTTTATCAATAAGATAATTTCTTTTAGAACTTAGAGTGTGAGGCACCTGGGTGGCTCAGTCAGGTGAGAGTCTGACTCGTGATTTTGACTCAGGTCATGATCTCATGGTTTGTGAGTTCGGGCCCCCACATCGGGTTCTGTGATGACAGTGTGGAACCTGCTTGGGATTCTCTCTCTCCCTCTCTTTCTGCCACTCCCCTGCTGACTGACTCTCTCTCTCTCTCTCTCTCTCTCTCTCTCAAAATAAATAAATAAAATAAAATAAAAAGAACTTAGAGTGCGTTTTCCCATTGAAACAATATTAAAAAGAGTTAGATTATCTTTTACCTTTATAAAAGTGTATTTAACAAATGATGTTAACTGAACCATATTACTCTGGTGGGCTAAGCTTGGAATCCTTGGAGCAAAGGTCTGTGCAGCAGTATTTTGCACTACTTCCATCAGTGTCTGATTATTGGTTTAAAAACTCTTCATACGTGAGCAGTGGCTTATTTCATTAGGGTATAGTTTCCTTAAGATAAATCAGTTTAGCCTCTTAAATTTGTGGGACTTTCATGGAGCTTCTTCTGGAGCAAGTTTGTATTTGGGGAAGGTGGACTGAAAGCCGTTTATGATGCCAGTGTGTAATTTTCAAAGACAAATAATGCGTGCCTGAGTAATATCACCCAGTTATGTTTTAATGGTAATCAAATATGCATAGTGGAGAATTGTCACAACCAAGGGATTTGTTTTATCACTGGTGTTATTTTTAGAGACAAGAACTTTCCTGGTCTCAGCTGACCTAATTATCCTATTGATACAATTTTTAAAATCCTAATAATTATAACAAGTATCTAGGAGAGAATTAGTAAAGTTTTTAGAGAATTAACTATTTTTCAGGAGGAAGATATGAGCTCTAAAATATCTCAGTTTCACCTTGTGGAGCTTTAAATCAGCTGCTTCTGTTTTTTGTTTTTTTTTTTTTCTTTAAATGTTTTAATAAATTCAGTGACCTAGATCATGACCAACAAGGGTTATATAGAATTCGATTTGGAGATTTTTTAAAAAACATTAATGTGTAAGAATATGAGAAATAATTGGGGTTACTGCAAATGATTAGTTATTAGTTTAGGGATTAAACTTTTAATTCACATTGGTATAATGCATTATTGCTCTGGCACTTGGCTAAACCTCTACTCAGCTCCAGCTATTTGTGATGAACGGTATCTGCATTGAAGTCTTAGCTTCCAGAACTGTCCTACTCTGCAATATTCTCTCAGTTTTTCTGGCCATCAACTTCATTGTCTGTTCTTCCTCTCTACTATTGTTATGCTGGTATCAATCATATGGATATATACATAATAATTGTTTAGCATGTGTGGCTTTTGGAGTCAGATTACCTGGGTTCTTTTTTTTTCCCCCCAAAGATTATTTATTTATTTATTTATTTATTTAATGTTTATTTATTTTTGAGAGAGAGAGACAGAGAGACAGAGCATGAGCAGGGGAGGGGCAGAGAGAGAGAGGGAGACATAGAATCTGAAACAGGCCCCAGGCTCTGAGCTGTCAGCACAGAGCCCGACGCGGGGCTCGAACTCACAGACTGTGAGATCATGACCTGCACCCAAGTTGGATGCTTAGCCGACTGAGCCACCCAGGTGCCCCTAAAATTTTTATTTTTAAGTAATCTCTACACCCAACAGGGGGCTCAAGATCAAGAGTCACATGCTCCACTGACTGAGCCAGCCAGGCACCCCAGACTACCTGGGTTCTAATAACAGCTTCACCACTTATTAGCTGCGTGTCTTTGGACCAGTTATTTAACATCTATCAGATGTGATTTTCTTAACAGTAAAATGGAAATAAATATATTAGCCGTCTCTATGGCTGTTGTAAGGATTAACTGAAATAATCTGTGGAAAGCACTTAGCACAAGTACTGACTTGGCATATTGTTAGGATTCAAAAATATTGTAGTTATTACTATTACTTAAAAGGTATATACTATAGAATTTGAAATCACAGAAGGTTATGGGGTAGAAGGCATTTGTCACTGAAATGTATTATTATTTAGAACATGAGTAAATGTAAAGATTTACTATTTATACTTTCAGGAATCCTTAAATATATTACTTAAACAGCTAGAAAAAGAGAAAAGGAGGCTTAAAAATCAAGTGAAAGACTATGCACTGAGACTGGAACAAGAATCAAAGGTTTGTTTTTATTCTATACTAGAAATTTCTTTGTAACTGCCATGATTTTTAGTATGTTATCTACAAACCTACTATATTATTATCACAAAATACTTACAAAACTATTTCCTACACTATTTAAAAAAAACATAGAGACATAAACTTGACTTAGTAATAGTCTTGCTAGTATTGCAAATCTTCTCTGATGTTGGGTTCTTTATTTTTGTATGTTTCTTGTAGGCTTACTACAAGACCAACAATGAGTGCCATACCTATCTAGCTGAAATGTCTCAGGTAACTTTTGTTTTCTTACTTCCAAATTTTAAGAGTTTCCTCTCACTATAAATTACATTTTTCACTTTTCTAGGTTTTTGATTGGTTTGATTTGATAAACATGTTGGGATTATAGGAGAAAATGTACCAAGTTTCTAAATATATAAAGTGAAAAAGCAAATTTATAGCTTTTATAAAAAGGCATAAAAGGAGATAAAAGTTTCCCAAATTAAGGGAATTTTTTCATATTTGCTTCTTTCGTTATCTTTTAAGTTTGATCTGTAATTTCTAAAACTCAACCAAATAAGCAGTTATCCCTGTGCTATAATGAAATTCATGGTATTTTATGTCATAATTATGCACAGTGAGATCTAAGATAGATATAGCACTGCTATCACTAGAAAGGGCTAGCAACTTAGTACAGAATTGGAAAGTATGCAACTACAAATGACAGGACAGGAAAGTGATCAGTAAATTAAAAATGATGTTGCATATATTTTCCATAGTTTTTCATTTGCCTTTCAGTTTTATTTATGATGTTAGTATTATAGGGTTTTTGTTTTGATGTTGTCAGAGCTATTTTTTATTTATGGCTTCACATGTCATAGTTTAAAAGACTGTTTTCATCTCAATGTTTCATCTCAATGTTTCATAACATTTATCACATCTTTTTTTTAGTAGTTGGTTACCTATTTAACATTTAAATATTTAAACCTTAGCAACTTTATTCTGATGGATGTTTTAAGATCACGATATGAGTTTAGTTTTCAATGTGCATTATCAAAATGGAAGCATCCAAAGAGCAGTTGGACATATGAATCTCAGGGAAGAAAAGATAAAAATTGGAGATATAAACATGGAAATTATTGGCATATAGACAGTAAATGAAGCCAAGTGAATGAATGAAATGTATCAGGGAGAATACACACAGGGTGAAAAGAAAAGAGAGTCTAGAATATAGCTCTGCAGAGTTTCAACAGTGATAGTCAAGGGACAAAGAGCCAAAAAGAGGATTGGAGTCTTCAGGAGATAACTAGGTGAGGTAAGGAAGTAGAGGACCTTGAGGTCTAGGTTTGCCATAAAGATAGTCTGCTAGTCACTAATCTGGTGTTTCCAGAGGATCAATGAAAGGATTGAGAGGATGGAATTAAGACTGGGGATTGGAGTGGCACTGGGGATTGGGTAGCTCAGTCAGTTAAGCGTCTAACTTCGGCTCAGGTCATGATTTGTGAGTTCGAGCCCCGCGTCGGGCTCTGTGCTGACAGCTCAGAGCCTGGAGCCTGTTTCCGATTCTGTGTCTCCCTCTCTCTCTGCCCCTCCCCCACTCACGCTCTGTCTCTCTCTGTCTCTCAGAAATAAATAAATGTAAAAAAAATTTAAAAAAAAAAAGACTAGGGATTGGAGCTGAGAAGGGGATGTATAGAACAATTTGGGAATGAAAGTCAGGGCAGTAGTGGGTAAACGGAGGCTTAGATTTCTAGTACTAAGATTAAATTAGGAAATTGAGACAAAATAGGATCACTCCTTGTAGCCTCCTACCCATAAAACGGTCAGTTTATACTTGATGGTGCTGGATACTTAGTTGGCAGCATTACTTACTCCTGCCTTTCATCAGACCATGAGTCCCCCTAGAATATGCTGCTTTTCATACATGTCAACTCCGCTTCCCTGAAGTTCTAGCGTAAACGCTACCTGCTTTATGAGATTGTGATTTGATGAAAGAACCACAGATTTTGGAGTCATTGTAAATTTGGATTTAAAACCCAGCTTTGTACTTGATTGTCATTTGAGCTTTGGGGCCGTAATTTCTTTCCTTCTTGGTAGAAGGGGAAATAATAGTAGTGTCTTGCAGGGGATTTGTGAGTGTTTAGAGATGTAATATATGTAAAGTGCTGAGTAAAATGCCTGGCCCATAATACATTCTGAATTCTAATAAGTGGTGAGTATTATTTTCCTGTTTTTCTTTCCTGATCTCCCGAGCCTCCCTCTCTGTGACAGGGGCATTAGATTTTCTTCCTGCCTCAGCTTCCTCCTTTACCTTTGTTTATCTGAAAAATTCATTTAGGTGGAATAGGTTCTACTCTGATTATGCAGGATCACTGAACATACAATCAAAGCCTATTTTAACAGCTTCCCAGGAAGCTGTTAATCCTGTTCTCCAGTATAAATGTTAATAAGGATTTTCACTCTAGAGTGAATTGTTAATCTTTACAGTCAAAGATGGTTCTGACCATGTGGATACTCCAGTGACTGGAAAGGTCAGTGGATGATCTGCAGTTCTTTCCATGCTGAATACATAAATAATTATTCTTAGGTGGATAACTAGAGCTATTGGCTGAGTCTGTTGTGTATACTTCTGCTGTCTTCACTGTTTTGAATGAAACAGAGTTTCCATATCTCACGATTTTTCCAATTTACATACTATGTGTATAGTTGATTTTTAAGAATATATAAGTACATTCATTACTTAAAAGCCAGGCAGAAAGACTGACTAGAGCTGCTTGTAACACATAATAAACTTAAGTTCTATTCCCATAAACATAGAATTTTAGCAGTGGATCGATCTGAGACATTGTTGAATATAATACTTCGGTTTAAAGATACGGAACCTGAGGCCATTCTGTTTCATTGTCAAGCAATTGTAATTATTAGAATTGTTAAAGCATCATGTGATGCTCCTTATTCTCCTTCCTTAAAATCTATTGGTTTTAGTTGCATCCTCTGAAGAATATAGAATAATTCTATACTTCTCCTGTGTAACAGCTTCTCAAATATTTGAAAACAACCCTTAAGTGTTTCCGTAGTTTTTTCCCCTACGCTAAAATATCAAATTACAACAAAAGTTACACTAGCAATTCCCTCTGACATGGGTCCTAACCTATCCAACTGTTCTGTTGTCTTTTCAAACAACTCTATTTTGTTATTGTTCAATTGAAAATAGAGTTCCCCAGATTTAAATCTAGACTTGAAATATAATCTCAATAGCATAGCTGTTAAAATCTTGCCATTTTTTTCCTCCTCTGCTGCCTGAGAAATCCTTGCAAAATGCCGATACGATGTTGTTCCCCATTTAAAACCTTCAGTGACTCTGCATTGTCCAGAGGATCTCAGCAAAGCTTGTTAGAGTGGTCTACAATGTCCTTTCCAACACACAGTGCCTGCCTTTCCATCCATGTTCCTGCTCACATCCTGTACTGCAGCCAGACCAGCCATATATGTGGTCCCTACATCTGTCATGTTGCCTTATAGTTGTAGGCCCTTGCTGCTCCTTCTGCCTGGAATGTCCTTTCCAGTTCTTGACTGGCTACTCGTCCAGGCCCCCTATAGCCCAAATGAGCATCTGCTTTATGCTTACAAAGCACCTGTGCAAACCTCTGTCGAGGCAGCGAATTGTACAATCTATTTATTGTGCTGTTTTCTCCAATAGATTGTAAGAACCATGGTTTATCTTTGTGCCCTAGTGCTAAATTTGAGGTTGCCCATAGTGGATACTCAATAATATCTGCTGAGTGAATAAATGAATGAATTCCGTCTTCTGGTCCAATATGCCCAAAATTGCCCCTCTTAGCAAATGGTCTCACATCTTCATAAAAACGCTCTTGTCTTCTACCAAAATAAAACAAAAACAAACTTTTATTTTACCCTACCTTAATAAAACTACTACTAGGGGCACCTGGGTGACTCAGGCAGTGAAGCCTCCGACTTTGGCTCAGCTCATGTTCTCATGATTCGTAAGTTTGAGCCCTGCATTGGACTCTGTGTTGACAACTCAGAGCCCAGAGCCTACTTTGGATTCTGTGTCTCCCTCTCTCTCTCTGCCCCTCCCCCACTCAAGCGTGCTGTCTCTCTCTCTCTCTCTTTCTCTTTCTCTCTCTCTCAAAAATAAATAAATGTTAAAAAACAAACAAAAACCCCCCTACTACTTAGCTTTCCTTTTCTCAGTTAAACTTTGTGCAAAGGTGGATATACTCACTGTTTTGCTTTTACTCCTCAACCTCTTTCAACTCTCTCTGACTCCCACCACTGGCTGTGCCACAGTTTACTTTTTAATTGCCAAACACGACTCCTTTTCAATCCTCCTGGTAGTAAACATCTCTGAGGCATTTCATATTGCTAACCACACTCACTTTTTTGAATATCCCTCATCTCTTGACTTTAATGACAGTATTTTGTCCTGGGTTTTCCTATTGTTTAAATAATGGCCTTTGGCAATTCTCCTATTCCTTAAAAGGTGCTTGCTTTCTCTAGTTTATATGATCAGCTCTCTTCTCTGTGTGTTCTTACTGAATGACCTCATTTACTCATGTCTTGAATTGCTATCTATCTCTAAGGTCATCAGCCTTGATTGTTCCACCACCTACAAAGAAGTCTCCACTCTTGTGCCGTGGAAGTATCTCAAAACAGACAAAAATAAAAATACGATCTTGTCTTTCCATTTCAGGACGCATACAGCTTCTATGGTCATATCTTCCTTAATGACAGAGTGCATGTATTATTTATATTCAGTGTCTATTACAAAAACTTTTAATGATCTTTATACCCATAGATGATATGATTTAAACAATTTCCTCTGTATTTGTTATAAAAACCACATGGAATGTGGGGTTGAGATAGAGGGGTCTCCATAATATTTAGAAACCTTATAATCCTGGAGAAGGCCAGAATTTAGTTTCTCTTATGCATGCCACCTAAGGGCCGGGTTATAAAAGAGTTAATTGAGAATGGACTATTTCTCTTAGCTCAAAATCAGTCATGAAATAAGAGGACAAATGCTCAAATGTTTGTATTTCAGGTCTCTGACTCATACCATGTTTCTAAAAGGCAACAGATGGATCAACTGCCTAGAATGAAAGAGAATTCAGTGAAAATGTAAGTCTAACTGTATCCTTCCTTTCTAATTAAGTATATTTGCCTGTGGATGGTACTGACAAAACAGGTGTCCATTATATTTGGAAGTTGAACTTCTAGATTTTATAGCAACAATATAAAATAACAAACAGATGGTAGAAGAACTTAAAGAAGTTTGTGCTCTCTATTCACTATTTATATACATTTTTGTAGATCCCAAGAATATGTTTTGTCCTCCAACATGGTAAGTTCTTGTTTCCTAAGCTAGAACAATGCCATACCCAAGAAGAGCCTAAATCGACACCATTAACAACAATATAAATACAATTAAATTATCAGCCTTAACTTTTTTACTGACCAGAGATGGATACTGAAATTAGTGTAGATGACAGTGCAGTTTAAACTGTGTTTTCCTATGTAAACAAAGACAATTTAGGATGAATAAAGAACAGAAGAATGTTTTATGCGTTTAGGAAGTTATGTCCACACATGATTTTTCCTGTTCTCTACTAAATCCAGAAGAATTAGTCAGGCAATTCTACTTTATTCTATTTAGGAGAATATACTTATATATAAGTTAATGATATAAAAAAGTAAACCAAGATGTAAATTAGTATAAATCAGAATTCTTTTCAAATACAGGCACTCAAGGTATATGCAATATCTTAGCAATTTTTTTTTTCCGTAGAGATTCAAGGGATACATTTTGTCCAATATTTGGTTAGATGGGTAAAAGTGTATTCTTCCTTCAGTAGTCATACTTGAGTTTAGTTTAGTTTAGTTTAGTTTAGTTTAGTTTATTCTGATAGAGACAGAGCAGCACAAATGGGGGAAGGAGCAGAGAGAGAGGGAGAGAGAGAGAGAATACCAAGTAGGCTCCCTGCTGCCAGCTGTAGAGACCAGTGTGGTGCTCAGACCCATGAATTGTGACATCATGACCTGAATCAAAACCAACAGTTGAACACTTAGCCAACTCAGCCATCCATGCACCCCATGGTCATAAATATTTTAAATTATAAATCATTATCCTGTATATTTTTATCAGTAGAAATATAATAGAGTTAAAACATTAAATTCTGGGAAAGAACTTCCCTCTGGAAACTATTATGCCTCTGTGCTAGGGGGCCCCAAGACCACTCCCCTGTTCAGTGATTTGCTAGAACAACTCACAGGACTCAGCATGTATTTGTGCACACAGCTAGGATGGATTTCAGCCAAAGGATACGAGGAAAAATCATCAAAGGAAAAAGGTGTATGGGATGAAGTTTGGAGGCAACTAGGTACAAGTTTCTAAAAGTCCTCCAGTGGAGTCACATAGAGCACACTTAATTCCTCCAGCAGTAGGTTTATACCATGTGCAACAATGCATGAAGTTTTATCTTCCAGGGAAACTCATCAGATACAGTGCCTGGGGCGGCGGTGGGGGGCGCCCACTGGTCACATATGTGCCCTGTGCTCAACACATACCAAATTCCAGACTTCCAGAAGGAAAACAGATGTTCACATAAACCATATTGTTTGTACAGCTTAAGTACAGTGAGCCGTTCTCTTTCATTTAAGGAAAGTTATATCCGTGTATGGAACTTTTTACCACTAAGTTCCCAGACACCAACCAAGGGCCAACCTTGCAAACAGGCCTTTGTAAGGAAAGCAGTTTCAGGCCTGGTACAGTCACCCTGCGTATTTCTTTTTTTATTTTTACATATGTCTTCCATTTCAAATTTCTTTTAGAAAGATATTACCTCTTTTATTCAAATCTACTTAAATAATGAAGGGAGAAATATTTTGCAAATACAGATAAAACTTACTCTAATCATCACACATATACATATATAACACTAGACTATACTCTGTTAGAGCAGTTTGATTTTCCACTGAATACTGTTGTAGATTGGATCTCTCAGGGAGACTCTGAAATCAGCATGCAAGAAGTTTACTAGTGAGCCTTCTTAAAATGAGTTCCTCGAGGGCAAGGGAAGGAAATAGGTTTAGGCAGAGAGAATAGGAGTGCAGTGCAGCTGCAGTCCCTTGTATCAAGCTGACTCATCAGTGGACGAAGCGTGGGCTTTCTTTCCTTCTAATGGGGTGACCTACCCTGAGAATCTGAGTCCTGTTTGCCATGTGTAAGTGGTACTCATCCACTTACTGTCAAATTGAGCAAGGCAGTATTTAAGGAGCCTTGAGCAAATGACCTAGATACCAAACTCCTTCCTCCTGGCCCCCTGCTGTATCACCCTGGCAGTCAGTGTCTGCTGGGCCTCCATGACATCGGTCTGAATTGAGCTAGAGGTGCTGGTGCATCAGAGGTGGATGACGTGGTCTGAAATACCTGCTCAGTAAGCTTGTTTGGGGCCTCTGGCACCGCACTGCTTGAGCTCAGATGTATCACTTCCATCTTTGATAGAACCTAATGTTGAATATAGTGCCTGGCATGAATAGGTGTTTACTAATTTTTTTAATGAACGCATGAGTGAATAAATGATTACACAAATAGACAAACAACTCTTCATTTTCTAGAAGTATTAATAACGCAAATAACTCAAATAATAGAAACATTTCTATATACCTATAACCTTCCAAATTAGGTATATATAATTGGCACTACTTTAAAATATTATTGGGGCGCCTGGGTGGTTCAGTTGTTTAAGCCTCCAACGCTTGATCTCCATTCAGGTCATGATCTCAGGGTTCCTGAGATTGAGCTCCGCATCAGACCCCGCTCAGATAGCATAGAGCCTGCTTGGGATTCTCTCCCTCTCTCCCGCTCTCCCTCTCTGCCCCTCCCCCACTCATGCGTACTCTTGCCCTCTTGCTCATTTATTATTAAAATAAATAAATAAACTTAAAAAAATTGTACTTAATTACTGCCTTAACTCTGGAATTTAGTATACTTTTTGATTTTAGTCTTAAAATCAAGTTTTAGAAAAATAAAGAAAACCAAGTTTTAATGTTAAGCACCCCACAGAAGAGGATATCCAAATGGCCAATGGACATGTGAAAATGTACTCAACACCATTACTTATTCAGCCAAATGTAAATTAAAATCATGAGATGACCAGGGGTGCCTGGTAGCTCAGTCAATTGAGCTACCGACTCTTGATTTCGGCTCAGGTCATTATCCCAGTGTCGTGGGATCAAGTCCCACATTGGGTTCTGTGCTGGGTGTGCAGACTTCTTGGGTTTCTTCCTCCCCCTCTCCCTCTGCCCTTCTCCCTAGCTTGCTCTTGCTTTCTTTCTCTCTCAAAAAAAATTTTTTGAGAGGCCACCACAAATTTTAAGGTTGATAATTCCAAGTGTTGTCAAAGGTATGGAGGATGTGTAAATTTATGCAACCACTTTGGAATAGTGTTTAGTATTACTTTCTACATTTAGATGATTATGTAACTACTCTATGACCCAACAATTGCATTCTTAGTTACATACCTAACCAAATGGTACATACATTTACACCAAAAAAACCTGTCCAAGAATGTTTCATAGAAGCTTTATTCATAACAGCCATAAGCTGAAAACAACTCAAATATCTATCAGTAGCAGAATGGGGGCGCCTAGGTGGTTCAATTAGTTAAGCATCAGACTTCTGATTTTAGCTCATGTCATGATCTCATGTTTTGTGAGATTGAGCCCTGCATTGGGCTCTGTGCTGACAGCGCAGAACCTGCTTGGGATTCTCTCTCTCCCTCCCCTTCTACCAATCTGTAGTTTATGCACACACCCTCTCTCCCTCAAAATAAATAAACATTTTTTAAAAATAGTAGAATCGATAAAATTAAAAAAAAATTTTTTTTCCCAACATTTATTTATTTTTTGGGACAGAGAGAGACAGAGCATGAACGGGGGAGGGGCAGAGAGAGAGGGAGACACAGACTCGGAAACAGGCTCCAGGCTCTGAGCCATCAGCCCAGAGCCTGACGCGGGGCTCGAACTCACAGACCGCGAGATCGTGACCTGGCTGAAGTCGGACGCTTAACCGACTGCGCCACCCAGGCGCCCCAGAATCGATAAAATTTTTTAAGAGATACAAATTTATACATCTATGTTACTCATATAAAAACAAATATTCATATATTTATTAATAATAACATGAATATATTATATATATGAATAATAACAACAATAAAAACAAACTACAGCTCACACAACATCATGGATAATCATCACAGTGTTGGGGAAAAGAGGCCAGAAATAAAAGAACACGTATGATTCTATTCATATCATGTTCAAAGACAGGCAAAATTAAACTGTGGTGTCAGAAGACAGGATAGTGTTTACTAATGGAAAGGAGAAGGGGATGATAATTGGGAGGAGCACAAGGTATTCCGATGTGATGGCAGCGTTCTGTTTGTTGACCTGGGTAGTGGTTACATGAGTATTCACTTTATTATAATTCATAGCGCTTACAACAATGTTTTATGCACTCTGTATATGTATTATACTTAAAGCAGTATTTTAAAAATCAAGTTTTAGGGGCGCCTGGGTGGCGCAGTCGGTTAAGCGTCCG